ACTATTATATTATATTATATTATATTATATTATATTATATTATATTATATTATATTATATTATATTATATTATATTATATTATATTATATTATAGTATATTATATTATATTATATTATATTATGCTTTTCGGTTCACGGGTAAAATAAAATAAAAGACGATCACGTAACAGTACAAAAAACACCTTGGAACCACGTAGGCAGGCCGGTGACACCGGGTACCAACCCCCTGCCAAATTCCAAGGAAAAATCAAAACATTTAAAACACAGAACTAGTAACATAAAACACATATGCGCTGATTGTAACTTACCTCTGTCATCGGCATTGCATATAACTCATTAACAAAGATGAGCGCCAACGCAGTTAGAACCAGTAGATTGGTCATGTTTCTGGTGATAGGCAACACTGTACGACTGACTGTCACGATTGAGTTGCAGTAATACACTACACTTTACGTCCCGCACGTATCAACTTTCGGGGCACGACAAAATTGTTCGTGTGCTTGTCCGCAAATGAATAATATCTGTTTACTTGGCATACGCGACGTTGCATATGTCATGAACATATATGTAAACAAATTACAAATGAAACCGTCTGTGGTGTTCGGATGATTTATGCAGCCTGGTACTCCGTAATAACGTAAATGAATTGGCGTGAGCTTGCTCTGTCGCGGCAGTGTGAATAATCAGTTACCAAATAGTTGTGCTCATTCCATAATCATCCAACTCGTTGTTGTTGTTTTTATGACGTCATTGTCTACATAGTTCCCTCACTTCCGTTCAGTATTTTCGTATCGAGAGTGATTCGTGAATAATGACTTGTCATAATAATAGATTTGAAAGTTTACCCAGGTGTCCGTTTTACCACTGGTTTCTATGGTAAGTGGGTTTTGCTTTTATTTGGCGACATGGGGCTGCGTGATGGATAGCGTAGAGGAGTAGAGGTTCGTAAAAACATAACAATGTTTCTCAACGACTTGTTTTCTAAAACCGACACGTTTTAATGTGTTTTTTTCAAATTATCAGTAAATTTACGATTTTTTCATTAAAACTGTATTTGTCTATGATTTGTGTGTGTGTGTGTGTTTTAATTCTAACAAAAAAACGGTGTGATGTGTATAGACGCGCGCGACCACTTAAAACATGAATATTTGTAGGTGCCGTATTACGTTCCAGTTTTGGAGAAAGAAGTGAGACTTGGCGAGATATGGAGACGTTACTCGTAGAAGACACGAGATTTCTGAGGCACGTGCTTTGTGACTACTCTTCATGTTTTGTTTACTATGAATGACGCAATGGTTATCCATTCTATGTGAACTGACTGCCTTCGATTTTTAGCAAATAACACTCAATTCATATCATTATATTTATCTTAATGGCATTTTTTAATGTGATAATTCATAAAGTTACGTGTCAAATGAAAAACAGTTGGCCAAATAGATTGAAGTCTCACATACATTAGATGAGACGTTCTGTTTTGACAGAATATCGAACGGCATTTTTGTATATAATATTTTGCCCTTTGGCGTAGGATACAAATTAATATATCATTATTGTGTGTTGATAAGAAAAAAGGGCAATGGATCGATTTCGTTTTCAGGTATTTATCAATTGATAATAATGAATAATAACTTAAGTGTATGTCCACCACAGCAAGAATAATAGTTATTAGACGCAATACGAATACTTACGAATCTGAAATCTGAAATATGAATCTGAAAGCGTTTACATTACGTGTTTTTGACGTTATATTGCCAATACGGATAGTTCTGAACATTAGTATTCTATCAAACACTTGCCACGTTTGTTTTGTCATAATTATTACTTAAACGCGAATAAGCCGCAATTTTGCCTGTTTATTAAAGCGCGGTGGTCGTCGCGCAGCGCGTGTTCGAATTTCATGTAAATAAACAATGTATTTTAGACGCGTGTATACGTCGCTACGAGTCCCATGTCGAACACGGCGCGGCACGACGACTGTCGCCCTTTATTGTTGAGACAAAATGAAATTTAAGGTAGCATATCAATATAATGGGTAGCATTTGATGTAGGTGCAATACAGACATAAACGACACATGTGCATCTGTAAAGTTCACGTTCATCTGTGGCTCAGCATTTGCATGTATTGTGTATAGGCGGTACGAGTAGACAGCTGCTTGTTTCCTCATGTGATATTTCCATCAATTTATTTTGGCTCACTATTTTATATAAAATACCCACATGGTATATTGACCTTTTTGGCGCCATTATATTCCCGCCCAAAAATGTCTTCATTATTTCACATTTTAGTTGTATTGTCTAGCTATTTTAATAGTTATTTAGAGCACGACAATAATGACGTGTTAGTGTTATTTTTCACATTTTAGTGCAAGTTTTGTTTTAAAAAGAGTAATTTTGGTCCAAACTCTTGATTGTGGGTGTCTGGTTTTGCCTTTCATAATCTTGAAATTTGAAGATACTGAGGTTTTTGCTAACGGATTCGTGGAGAGAGTGTTTCACATTTGGGAACGAAATCTGTGATGGCGATTATATGTTTATGGGAGGGGCTGATTATCTTCTATGAGTATACATCATCGCACGATGTGACGGGATCTCCAGGCAAGGCACGTTTCTGTAAACTTATTAATGGAACTTTAAACATAAGGCGCCCTAAAAACGATGACATGAATATTCTGGAAAATAAAATACATAGGACTCGGTGAAAACAAAAACGAACTTAGTGTGCACGTTTGGGTTTGGGTTAAACCATCCATAGGCACGCACACTGAAATATGCCACTCTCGTATTGGTAGATACACAATCGTGATCGATCGATTTTTTTTTTAATTGTTAATTTGCGGTGACTATATTTGTTTAATTTTCAGCGGGATGATGTTTTGTTGATGGGTAATAAATGGATGTGTTAAAATCAACTTTGAGATTGAGCACGGTCTGGAATTATCGAATTACTATATATGACATATGCCGCTTCAAAACAGGAATGGGAATACATATTAAGTAAGCGTCTGTCGTGCCATATTTTAACGCTATAACACATGTGTGAAATATATTCATGTTAATAATAATGTACGACTATTGCTTTCTATGTCACCGAATCAATGAATACATAATATCACCATAGAAACCCGTACAAGAATACAAATTTTTCATGACATTTTTTATTCTTATTTTCTTTAACTGTCCGGTGACCTCACATTTTTTTCTCTTTCTTGTTTCACTTTTATTTATTATCATTATAGATACCTTTTGACATTTAAACCATGCTTTTAAAAGCATGTTACCGATATTTTTAATCCTAAATTGCAATCAAAAAGTTACATAACAGGTTTCAGAAATGACTCGGTCTATATTTTCACTGCCGTCTACAGTCGTCCTGCAACGTTTGCGCAGCGTCCATTGCCTTTAAAGCGCGGTGGTCGTCGTGCAGCGCGTGTTCAAATTCCATGTATATAAACAATGTATTTTACACGCGTTGTATACGTCGCTATGAGTCCCATGTCGAACAAGACGCGGCGCGAAGACTGCCGCCCTTTAATGTTTTTTTATGAGGCCGAGACCGAATGCGTTTCATCTAGGCTGCAGCCGAGTTTCCAAAAACGATTCAACAACAGACTGTGATTCAAAATTCTCCCGCACTGTATCGTATCGTGACCAAACAAGTATAGGCAGATTTCCTGGTATGTTTAAATGACAGTGATCAGCACGCCCGCATGAGTCCCGTATCGAAAAAAATCGAAAAAAACCGCCGTTTTAAAACAAAAACTGCACACTTTAAGTTTTGTCTGAAATGTGGGTGGGTCTTGATTTTACATGTCTAAAATGTGTGATAGAGGGACTTGAGTCTGGATTTTGGATAGAAGGTCTAAGTTCTACATTTTAATAAAAACGTGGGATCAAAGCTTTACTTTTTTATTATATTATAATTTACATACATAACACTTAAATATTATAGACATATCAAGCAAAAGACATGATTTAAAATAGATGACGAAAATAACCTGTTGTATTACTTCCTAGCATGGGACTCAATGGAAACCACAGTTATAGCTCTACAACACGCCAAAAAAGAGATTAACTGTACACAATGCTGAAGAAAAAGACTCCCAGTTCTACGAAATATTGAAAAAAGGTACCTACATATAAAACCTTTTTCATGTGAGCATCCAAGGATCAGATACCACGCCCTCCGACGACAGTTACAGTCTTAGCACACGGACACATAATGATGGCAACCGAGAGAGGGCGCAACTGACAGATACAAAAAAAAGTTTCGACGCAATATAACGTTAATCTCAAAAATGTAAAAATAAAAAATAAACCTTCAGCGTTCTTTATGCATTAAATAATTGTTACATTATAATATGTACAATAAGTATACTACAAAGTATATATATTGCACACAACACAATTCACGAAATATTCCCGTAAGTACTTTTTGTCAAACAGAATGAAATACCTGGTGAATTAATACCGAAGTTATCATAATCTGACTCGGGAAATGTAGTCCGTATTAACGATGCGTTATTTTAATGTTGTTGCTGATATTGTTAATGAACACAGCGTGACTATGATTTGTCGTGAATTAAAATCTGTGTTCTTGCATCACACAAAATAGAACATGCTTGATGAAAAAAAAAATCTCGCGCGCGTCGATTGTACGCCAGGTACTGGACCAGTAAATGCGCATGCGTAGATACTAAGGGTACCAAGTTTCGCGCTACAATTTTCTCGATTGTGTTTTTTGAAGTCTATCTGCATCTAATTATCTGTTTCTGTAGACGGAACAATAACTGTGAGACGACCTGCCTGTTGTTGCTGTTAGCGTAAACATAAATCAGAGGGTTCATCATACTGTTTGCATATAGCAACCAAATAAATATAGTTGGAACAATATCGGGAACAGTCGAGGACGAAAATATAATGTATATGGTAAGTATCTGATAGGGAAGCCAGCAAACAAGGAAACACGCCAATATGAGGGTCAGTATCCTCAACGCTTTGTTGTCAAACATGGAGTCTGTGTTTTTTCGTTGTTGCGGTTGCAATGTTTTCAGAGGCCGTGGCGTTCCTTCCGCCTCGGAGATCGTAGGTATTACATCATCTTTTTCACTCAGTCGTTCTCTGTAGTTGTCGAAGTCGCTCACGGTGTTGCGCGATCTGTGCAATACGGGACGTGTCGGTGGTGCGTTCTCGATGGCGGGCAAGTTGGCGGCTATGATCAAGTCGCGACTGGATTGATTCAGGAGCATATCCCTGATTATCGACGTCTTTCGCAAATCATTCCGGGAAATGGGTTTTACCGTGGTTTCGTCTTCCGCATCCACGTCATGAATCGGAGACAGGCTGCCCTTGCCGGATGCTAACGGGCTCAGCGTTCTCTGTATACACCTGTATGGCGATGGACGACATGACGGCGAGGCCGTATCTAGGCTCCAACGCCGATAAGCTGGATCCATCGACAGGACTTGTGACGTTTTCGCGGCGGTGAGTAACGTTTGCCCGCTTCTACTTCTCTGTAACTTGAATTTCCCATAATTAACTGCTTTAGGAAAAACATCATATTTATTTAGCGCCGGAGATACG